GAATTCTGGGAGTTGAAGTCCACTCATCTTAAAGTGGCCAAGTTTGGACAACACTGATCCTGGTTTCTAATACTTATATCAAGCTTCATTTCAGTCCACACAATCCTAGGTGTAGCGGTCCCTAATGTCTATTTTTGGTTTCAGGTCTCAGGAGTGTAAGAATAGGAAAAAGAAGTGTTGACGTTGCTGAGTGCCTTTTCACTCTAATAAAGACGGAGTAAGCACTGGGCTGCCAAAACTGAATTCTAGGAAAGTCAACACTTCTTTTCAGTAAAGTGGGCACTGGCTATGTGTTCTTTCTTCAAACTGGAAACATTATCACCTATGTAAAAAAAAAATAAAAAATAGGAACACACATACATCTCATGACGGGAGAAAGGCCAATTAGCCACAAGAACTAGTGGAACCTCCATGTGCAGAAGTAATATTCCTCTGCTGCTTATTTTGTAGAAGCTTCTGGCACACAAAGAATGAACACTGGTACCCACCAGGTGCACTGCTAGTGGCCTTTTCTGCTGCTCTTGCAATGAAATGCTGAGACAGCCAGGCGTTTTTTTTCTTCCATAGCAAAATCGTTTTGCCCCCCAATCTTTTTCCCCTTCTCCCCTCTAAAGTGTGATCCTAAGACACAAAAGAACACAAGTATTATACATAAAGCCTGTAATTAAAGCACGTTCTAATAAGTCACCCTGCTGCAGTGAAAAATGCATGTGAACACACACACGTCAGGCTAAGTTGCTACTTTCCAAAGCCTCTCTTCTCCCCAAGACCGCCCCCCTTCATAATTAGAAGCTATTATGATTTCCAGATAGTAACCTTTTGAAACTCACCCCCCTTCCAGTTACTTACATACAGACACACACACGTGTATACTGAGTGGCAGTGCCCTGATCTCCCATCTTCCTGCACTTATTTCACAGATAAGATCCAACTGATATTTTACAAACATTTATGTACTGTAAAATATTTCTTGGTAATCCTATTTACCTTTTAAGTTGAACATTAAGGCTATAGGGAGGGGAGGATGACAATGGGGATATACAACCATTTTTCAGCTCTGATTATGTTTTTAAAAACCCAATTTTAAAGCGATCACATTATTGCATTACTTACCATATCTCTTACTGCCAGCCATATAATTATCTGTCGTATAACTTGGGCTTCAGCTTATAAATGTGACACAGAAGATATATACTTAACTCAGATTTTTAAAATACAGTGCTTCTCTACTTAAATGCCAATAAACATTTATATCCACTCATATATCCGGCGTTCAGATTAATACAGGGAAAATCAGTCACAAGACTCAGAAGGGTCTCCTGATCGTAAACAGCTCCCTCTTCTCTCTCTCCCCGCCCACCCCTCCCAGACAATTGTAACCCCACCAGCCACATGCAGAGAGCAGGTGCACGCCTAGGAGGAATCCCAGTTACATCCAGCAATGATCTACATCACCCTTCGCCAGCCTGCTACTCTCCAGATGGGCTGCAGACTGTCGGCCGGGGACTCTTGGTCCTGTAATCCAACATATCTAGAGGGCGCCAGATTGGCGAAGTGGCAGCAAGAGCGCGCTAGCACTTAGTTCAAAAGGATTGTACTGCGGTTGTGATGAAACAGTCGGGAGGATGGCACGCGGCTTGGCTACCGCAGGGGGAAAAGGCGGGCGAAAGAGGAGAAAACACGGCTGAGCCCGGGAGCTGAAGGAGAAGACGGGAGGAACCGGGCGACGGGAAGACACGCGCTCGCTCGGGGCTCGTGGAGAACTAGTTACGGAGCGAGGTGGGGCGGAAGAACGGACGGGAAGCTCTGTGGAGACAACCGGGGCGCAAACATCCCCACAGTATACAAGCGCTCGCTGCCCCCTCGATCCGGAGAGACGGCCCTAGGAAAGGAGAGCGCGGCGCTGAAGGCGGAGGCGGTCAGAAAGTGCGCCAATCAATAACTCGCTCAATTTAAACAGAGAGAGAAAGAGGCAAAAAACGGGG